AAAAAAAAAAAAAAAAAAAAAAAGAATTCTCTTCGTAAAAAAATCACAAGTTCAATATTTGCACATACAAACAAAAGCGAGTCCCTAGACGAAGGACGAGAAGAACGAAGGACCCCTTGGACCCCTTCTAACTGCGCTCTTGATGAGGTCAAAGCAAACAGACCAACGAAATTGTGGCAAAGTGCTCAACGCTGTGGGCTATATGAAAAAAAAAAAAAACAAAATCAGTAAGCGATTAGGCAGGGATAGACTGGGAGTTACCCTGGAAACATGGATGGGATACGAAATATTGTTTAAATGTATATAGAACAGATCCTGCAGCTGTGGCTCGAAAGTAATATATAATTGAAATGAACTATATCGTTCACTTCACTAGTTCACTTGCGGCATCACTAGTTTATACATACATACATATATGTATGCACTAATTATTCGCTTCATTCTTTAAGATCAATTCTAGTACAGTATGCGGATCAAGTAAAGTAAATATGACCAACCGATGGAACTTGTTCGTTGAACTAGTTAATTTTAATAAATTTTTAAATGGAATTGGTTCATTAAAAGTCGATAATGAATCATCTATATCTATAATTTTATAATAATTTTGAGTTTTACCATTTAAGATTAGAGCTAAATTTGCTTACATTTTACAAAAGGTTAGACTTGCCCCTTTTAATATATTTTCAATGAGTATCAAAATGAAATTTGAGCACCTCATATTAAATTCAGATATTCTCTTCATATAAATTTATAATATATGCCCCTTTTAATATATTTTCAATGAGTATCAAAATGAAATTTGAGCACCTCATATTAAATTCAGATATTCTCTTCATATAAATTTATAATATATATATTACCAAAAATGGCTTTCACTTCGATTTTTCAAAACACACCACATTCTACTTAACATTAATGCGCAGAAAACTCCAGTTAAATTCAAGTATCATCCCTGCCCAAAAGTATGCCGCAAAATCTGGAAAGCCCATTAAAAATGGTTGGATTTTAAAACATGGCAGACCAAACGAAATTTGCATGCCACACCCTCAAAAAAAAAAAAAAAAGAAGCCGTTAAACAACCCTCGCTGAAGCTCGAAAACTTTTGTGCTCGAAAATCAAAGCAACAGGAGCCAAAATAAAACATAAGGAGAATTCCAACCCCCTGGAAAAGAAAATGTTTGAAATCGAAACCATTTGTAGTCGAGCCTTTTCGCTTTGACATGTTTACACATTTAATTAACTAACACGCGCTCTACAAACTTCCGATTCGTGGAGTTTCCCGTCCTGGAGGCCAAGGAAATGGAGGAAAATAGTAGGAAAAAACCTTTAGATTTGTCCCTTATTTTTCTCGCCTTTTTCTTTTTTGACAATTTGAAACCATTTCAAGTGGTTTAATCATTTAACGCACATCATAAAAATCGCATCAAGTGATTTTTATTTACTCGAACAACAAAAGGAATGTCAAGGGAAAACTGGCGCAAATCCTTTGAAATGTTAGCACTACTAAAGCAAAAGGCATGAAGGAATTTCTCACATTCAACGATGTGTCAAAGCGGATATAAACAGCAAGAAATTTTCGATTCCTAGATCTAATGACAATAGACAACAGTAGTTGTATACAAATTAAAAGCAATTTGCCGCAGTTGCAGGGCTTAAATATAAAAGTGAATTTTATCTGCCTCACTTTTTTATTTTCAGTATATTTTTAATTTTTTTTTTTTTTTTTTTTTTTAGTTTTGTCTTGAATTTCAATTAAATCATTTATTTTTAAAATTTTCAATTTAAAATAAATATTTTTATATTTTTATCCTGACTCACTTTTTATTTTCAATATTATTTCATGGCGTATATTTTTTGCTTGTACATTTTCATACGGAACTTTAAGTACTTTATATGTATTCTATGATAAAATTGTTATATATTTAATATATTTTTTAAACAAATAAATCAAAATAAAATTTCTTACTACTATGGAAAACAAAATTTAAATTGGCCGCCAAATAAAATGTCTTCTACACTTTTTTCTACAGATATGGCAACACCAAATCCCAAACATGCTTACGAGTGGCAAGCGTGAAGCAAATACCAAATTTGAAATAAAAATATAAAACAAATTATTCAGTTCGTTGTTAATACAAAGCGAAATACATAGTTTTTATTTAAATGTTAAATACATATTAACTTGTAGTGTATATTATGTGAATTTTATTCATTATAAAGGCGAGCCAGATGCCGCAAAATGGAAACGATATGGATGGTGTGTGTGTTTCTTTATCATATACGTGTGTGTGCGTAGGTATATGTGTGTGTGTGTTAAATGAAAATGCAAATAAGTAGAGTTTGCAGCCGGGATGAGAGCGCACAAATACACAGAAGGATAAGAGTTGCTGGCAAAGCCAAACTGCTTAGCTCATCGTGTTGATCTGCAAAGAGAAATATCAATTAATAACATAATAATATTTAATAAAGAGATTCTACTCACAATATCATCAATCTTCAGTATGGAGCGTATGGTCTCGGTGGCCAGTGTAATGGCCGATGTGCTCACCAGAAGCGGCTGCACCACATTCTCTGCCAGAATGTCGGTGATGGCGCCCTTGCGCACATTGATGCCGGCTGTCTTTTCGCCCTGAGCATGGCGGTTGCGCAGCTCAGTCACCGTAGCAATTGGATTCAAGCCTGCATTCTCGGCCAAAGTTGATGGAATCACCTCCAGGGCATCCGCAAAGGCACGATAGCAATATGCATCCACACCTTCGACGGTTTGAGCCAGTGCAGCCAGCTGCAATGCCATCTCTATTTCAGGGGCACCGCCGCCCACAATCTGAGCACGCTTCTTGACCAAGCAACGCACCACACACAAAGCATCGTGCAACGAGCGTGCAGCCTCCTCTAGAACGAGCTTATTGGAGCCACGGCAGATAATGGAAACGGTGCGTCCTTGATTTTGAATGCCCGTGATCTTGACAAACTTGTTGGTGCCACTGGCAACTTCCTCGACGAGATCTGCGCTCGACAAATTCTCAGCCGTGAAATGATCCAGCGAGGCAATTGGACGACAATGCAATGATTTGCATACAAACTCAATGTCCTCGCGTTCCACGTCCTTGACAACCAAGCACTTGATCTTGTCAAGGAAATGCTGAGCCAGATCCGAGACGGCATCACTATAGATACGTAAAATTAAGTTATACGTTATATTCCACAACTAACATCAAACTCAAATAACCTACCGCAATATGGACTTCTGTACGAGGAGGACATTGCAGCCCGCCTTCTTGATCTGCTTTACGATGTTCAAAATATAGGAGCGCTCCTCCTTGAGTACGCGATCCATGGCTGCATAATCGCTAACAATCACATTGTGATCCATGTCGGTTTTTGGTGCCGAAATACAGAATTGAATGAGACCAATCTTTGCCTTCTCAATGCGTTTGGGTGCATTGGTGCCGGCCGAGCGGCTGGTGAAGACCAAGCCCTGGACCAGTTCCGTATCTTCAACAGTGCCGCCCAAGCTCTGAATAACCTTAATGTTCTTTAGATCCACCGATGCCTCTTTGCCTGGTTCGGTGACTTTTAGCACTGCGTCCACAGCAATGGGAGCGAGCAAGCTGCTCTGCTGGGAGACAACTTTAGAGTTGAGCGATGTGGAAGCACTCTTGATCAAAGTTTCGCGATCCTTGAGTTCAATGGGAGTCGACATTTGAGTGAGAATCTCCACAGCTTTGTTCGAGCAACGTTGGAAGGAATCCGAAATGGCAGTGGGATGCAAACCTTTCTGCAGCAGCTTCTCACATGCCTCCAACAGGGCACCGGCAATGACCACAACAGAAGTGGTGCCATCGCCGGCCTCAACATCCTGGGCACGGGACAGCTCAACCAACATTTTTGCAGCGGGATGCAACACATTCATCTGCTTCAAAATGGTCGCACCATCATTGGTAATGGATACTTCGCCATTGCCAGCCTGAATCATTTTGTCCATGCCGCGAGGACCCAAGCTGGTACGAATGGCATCGGAAACAGCTGCAAAAAGAATCGATTAGTAAGAATCCCATACCGAAACACATGACTCATATATTGTCATCACTAAGAAGCTTCCAGACGGCAGCCGGCAACTGCTTTTTATTTATACATTTAAATACATTATCTCATCCTACCAACAACAAACATGTAACATAATTCACAATAAGTATCATAAATAACCTTTCTACACCCATTTTATGTTACGACTTAGCATATTTCAACAATAACCACATATTTTCTTACCCTTTGCCGCCTGTATATTGGACAGCCTCACATCGGTTGGCTTTGACTTGTCTTTAAAGGTCTGTGATTTTGGTGGAACACCAACTGTTCTGGATTTCGGCGCCATTGTTGTATGAATGATCTAATTATAAGCAGTTTATAATTTTTTAACACAATTTTAAACGCGATTAACACAGATTAAAAATTGTCTACAACTATGTTTTTTCGCTGCCCCGTGACAGATAGTGACGGGAGAAACTTCGGCAACGCTATCGATTTTTTCTCGATAACTTAACATTTTTTGGTATTATTTAGCAACTTTTTGTGTGCGTCCCTTATTGCATGGCAATTTGAATTTTAAATGCGCGAATTAATTTAAATATTACATTTATTTTATTTTTATAGAATTAATTGTATTTAGCCGTAGGTGGCACCTCATCAGGTCCAATTTCTGTCTTTTCCGGCATACCAACATTCAATGTCTTATCCGAATTTATTTGCGCAGTTATCTCCGTAAAGAGCTTATCCCATTCCCAAATTTCGTCCGGTTCATCCAAGCTTTCCTGAACCTGTAAGCAACGTGTCAATATGGTCAAATCCACGTCTTCTATTGCTGAAAAGGCATTTTGTGAGAGCAGATCGGAGCTTAACTCTTTAAATGTAACATCGCGACTAATAGCGACGCTTCTGTAAGTTAAATAAAGGATTATTTTATAAAGTTTATATAAAGAAACTATCTTACGACGCAGGCTCAACAATTTCGTTTAGCAATATTTCATCTCTGACATCATCTAAATCCGGTATAATTGGTATATCATCCGTTGGTATTGAACTTGTCGCAGATTTGATCACTTGAAAGCGTTCACTATAAATTTGATATTAATTATGTGAGCTAATATGAAAGCTGTAGTTGCTTACTCATCAAATGAATTCTTCTTGGATCTATAACAAATAAATTCGTATTATTATTATATTATTAACACTCGAATTTTAAAACTTTTACTTACTTAAGTCCCTTTAAACCAGAATCTGCCCAGCCACCAGAGACGCGCCGGATGGGCGGTCGACTTGAATCAAATTCATTATTATATGCTGTAGGTGTTGTAGATGTGGGACTGCTACTATCATTTTGTACATCTAACGTAATATCTATGGATATATCTTTATTCAATTTGTGTGTCGACGCAGCACTCGATGAAGATCCCGCTTGATTTTCCTCTTTCAAGACATCGCGACTCTTTGAGCGACGACCCTTGCGTGCAGTGGTCTACAAATGTACATAATTATATAAATTATAGTTTTATTTAATTCAATTTAACCTTTCTTATAGTCATTTTCAGTTCTTCAGCCCAATCCATTGCACAAATAATTTATTGTTTATATTTTTCGCGTTGCCTAGGCAACAAGTTGTATTGGCAGTGCTGTAAAGTAGCCAATAGATAGTATCGCCAAACATCGATATTACTCGATAGAAAACTGTTTTGGTTTTTCTTAAGCAGCCAAGTTCACGTCAGAAGTGTATGGGAAGGCTCTAAGGCCTGCTTGTTTAAAATAGTAAATAAATAAGAAAATTGACAAAATGCTGACGGACGACGATGATTTCTTCTACGAGGATAAAATGTAAGTACCGGAATGCATGTATATACGCTTGCATATGTAAATACATTTCGTGGGTTAAACGTGAAACTGAAAAGCTTTGCCAACTGTTTGAAATAAAAAATCAATAATTGGGTCAACATATTGTTTATGATAATTCAAACATAAATATAAAATAATGTAATACAAAATTTAATTAGAAAGCAAACAAGCGAGGCCACGCCAGTGCTAATACAATTAAATGAGGATTTCATGGCCGACTTTGAGGCGTAAGTATCGGGTGGAATAGGAAGTACTAGCTCTGCCTCTATTTCTCTCTGTATGTGTATATATATGATAAATATATATCTGATTCCTAAAAGTTCGAAACAAAAATTGGAGGATTTAAAAGTCAGCGCGGCCACCGATACAGAAACTGCGGTCTTTTGCACTGGCCTCGAGCTAACACCAGATCGATATGGACTCTTTAGTAAACAAAAATACGAGCTAGATCGCTTGTAAGTCAATATTTCTTGACTCACTAGACCGTTAGAAACGTTATAAATCGTTATATGAACCGTTATATAAAGCATATACTTCAAGTAGTGTCTCAAAAGCTAACCCAAACCTAGACGGAGACAAAGCGTATTTATTGTATGCCTCGTTCTTTATTTTGTAAGCTCCTAAAGGCWAAATTTATTTATTTTTTAATAGAGTAAACACGAGTATATGTGTGTAGTTCATTTGAAAATTACATTATTATGTTTTCCTTGGGTCCAAAAAATATATAACTGCTAGAAAGTCCTTTATTAGAGATATATCCTATTTTATAAGCATATACAATTTAATGAAATAATAGATATATTCCAATTTATTACGATAACTACAAGAAGATTGAAATATATAATATTGTTTATAGTCAAAACACTCTATGATTGATTTTTAGAATATTGGATAGCAAACCAAGAAAAAAACAAGTAAGAAAGCTCTAGTCGAGACTGCTCGACTACGAGATCCCCTGAACCCTTGGAGTGCTAGCTATTTCAATAATTTTTCGCGTCTTTCAGCTTACACAAGAAACACACACACATACACAAACACATACACACACAAGCACCCACGCATAAACACGCATGGGCTGCAGTGTGCGCTTACTATGAGAACTTAATTGTTTAATAACTTTTTTGTGGACGTACGATCTTCATGAAACTTTCAGATTATGATTATAACATGAATATGCATGTAATTGCCAAAGCACAAGTCTCTAGTATTTGAAATACGCTTTTTACAAAAGTGAGGGTGAGGGGGTGAATTTAAGGGTGGGGGGTAAATTTTAACAAAAACCGAAATTGTATAAATTGCATATAAGCATACATTAAAAATTTGGAGACTCTAGCAATAAAGGTGTAGAAGATATAATTTTATAACTGGTTTTCGATAAGGTTTTTTATCGATAAAAAAAGATCGGGATGAGTTATCGATTTTTAATGATAAACTTGATATGCGCGCTGTAATTACGGACATTTTAAAAAAAATTTGAAGTCTCTAGCTCTTATATCTTCTGAAATCGACGCGTTCATACATACGGACAGACGGACAGACGGANATTATGGTCGAAAACCCTAATTAATCTATTATGAAATTATAAATAATTCTGTTTTTTTTTTTTTTACATTTTAAAAGGAATTTATTTATTTTTCACAAAAATGTAATGTAAATGTAAAAAAAAAAAATCAGTTGAAATTTCTTTCAGATGATTGCTTTAGTTCGCTTCCAGGGATTTGGAGTAGCCTTGAAATTGGTTAATTTGCGGGCCTGCACATATTCGTCGTGGCAGCGCTGCGCCCACTCGATCGCCTTTCGTTGCCAGCGCGTCTCCTGCTCCCGCCGGTTCCACAAATCGAACTGTTTGCGCAGCTTGCCCCGTTCCACGGACTTCAGATGGAACGGTTCAGTCTTCACAATGCTCGATAAGATGCGCGGCACGAACGGAGGCTGGCGCCAGCTCTCCGAGGCTTGGCTCAACTGCGGCCGCAGCGTCACCTCCCTCATTATCTGTTGCTCCAGATTCGCCCGTTCCGTCTGCCAACGTTTGGCCGCCTCCATAGATTTCTTTAGTGTGTGTGGCGTTTGCGGTTTGGTCAAGTTGTACAAGCATTTCAATTGACGCGTTCGATTTCGTATTTCCCAGCGTTTGTGCATCAACTTGAAATTTGGCACCGCATGGCTATGGAACTGGCATTGCCGGCTCTGCTCCTGCTGCAACTGACGCAGCTCCTGCTGCCGATTGCGGTCGTACACGTGCTGTATGCTGCACACCTTTGGCGATCTGCGCAGCGTCTTCTTCTTTTTCGAATTCATCCTCGCCTTATCCAATCCCGCCTGCTGCCGCAACAACCTGTTCGTATTATTCTCCAATACTATGGATTGCAAACGCGCGTCCAACCGTTGCACGCGGTTCACCAGCTTCGATTTCGGCTTCTCCTGCTGCGAGTCAACCTCTCTGTCCCTATACCAATGGGAAAACGTCATGGTCTCTGGGTATCGTTCCGACAGGTTCTCGTCTCAAACAAATTTCAAAAAAACGCAATTTCGCTTAACTGAATTTTCACTAAACACCTTTACATTACATTTTAATTTTATTCACACAATAATTTTTTTTTTTTTTACCGATTTGCTACAAAATTAAAATATCGAAAATGAATTCCAGATCAAAGCAAATCTGTCAAAAAGGTTTTCCAAAAATGAAGCTATGTTGTTCTAAGATTTTGAGTATGTTTATATTTTGCTATGTGAAGGACATAATTTTGGTCTATATATTAAGATATAATTTAAGTTTGTAACTCTTTTAAACATCAATTATTTTAGCTGTATATATAGATTTTCAAATATATTTATAAATTTTTGCTTTAAATATTCCTGCATTAATTTTCTTTATAAAGACATTCTCTAGATATTTTTGTTAATTAATTTAAATTTAATTTTTTCCATAAAACCAAAGTTTTTTAGGGTATATATTACAACCTTATTTATTAATAATTTTCTTTTCCATTCCAGGTCTTTGATGGCACTCCCGCTGCCCGTGAAGGCTCCCTGCAATCAGGTGATGAATTGCTCGCTGTCAATTCGGTGAGCGTTAAGGGCAAAACCAAAGTGGAGGTCGCCAAGATGATTCAAACTGCTACGGATGAGGTGACCATTCACTACAACAAGCTGCACGCAGATCCGGAACAGGGCAAAACGCTGGACATAATCCTCAAGAAACTGAAGCATCGCATTGTGGACAATTTGTCGAGCAATACGGCTGACACGCTGGGTCTATCGAGGGCTATACTATGCAATGATTCGCTGGTCAAGCGACTAGAGGAGCTGGAGGGCACAGAGCTGATGTACAAAGGACTTGTGGAGCATGCGCGACGCATGCTGAAGGCCTATTACGATCTATTGCAGACATACAAGAGCTTTGGCGATTGTTTCACCCAGATCTCGGCACATGAGCCGCAGCAGCGTGCCAGCGAAGCATTTCGTACTTTTGGCGAATTTCATCGCTCGCTGGAAAAGGACGGATTGGCTATCATTAAGCAAATTAAGCCCGTGCTCGCAGATCTGGGCACGTATCTGAATAAGGCCATACCTGACACAAAATTAACCGTGCGACGTTATGCGGATGCGAAGTTCACCTATCTCTCCTATTGCCTGAAGGTCAAGGAGATGGATGATGAGGAGCATGGCTTTGCAGCGTTGCAGGAGCCGCTCTATCGCGTCGAGACGGGCAACTATGAATATCGTTTAATTCTGCGCTGTCGCCAGGATGCGCGTAGCAAGTTCGCCAAGCTGCGCACAGATGTTCTCGAGAAAATGGAGCTGCTGGAGTGCAAGCATGCCATGGACTTGAATAAGCAGTTGCGCAGCCTACTCGATAGTTTGGCGGAACTACACAGAAGCTTGGTGGCACGTCTGGACTCCCTACCTCCTCTCTTCCCCATTGAAGTGGACTTTAAGGAAACGGATTTTCAATACAAATCGAGTACGCTCAAGCCCCAGGAGCTGGATGATGACGAAATTGAAGAGAATTCAACAACACGTTCCCATAAAGTAACATACGGCAGGGAAGCCGTCGAGCAGCCGGCGCCCATTATCAATGTGGAACTAAAGGAGCCCACAACTGCGTCCAATGCCAACGAAAACGAATCCCTGCTCAAGGAACTGGGTTTGCACGATGTGGATTTGCTTTCCAATCCGCAAACTATTAGCAATCAAACGGATTCCATTTCGGCACAGAATGACGGCTACGATTTTGACTTATTTTTGAATCAGGCAAATGCTACGACAAGCCTCGAACGGGATCTGATGTCAGCCAATGCCAGCGAAACTGATTTGCTGCTGCAATAGACTTTTTGTGTACAAACAGAATTTCCTTTATTAGAATCGAGCTCTTTTTCTAACTGTTCGTTTTGCTATTTACGTGTATATATTGTTAAGTGTATGTGAAATTAGATATATTGAACACCAAATGAATAATAAAACTAGAAACTAATACAAAAACTATCTTTCCGTATCGATACCATAATTCAAAAGCTTTTTACCGTTAACTTTGTTTACATAGCCATTAAAAGTGCGCGCTAACACAGCTGCTAATTAAACAAGTAAGAAAGCTCTAGTCGAGACTGCTCGACTACGAGATCCCCTGAACCCTTGGAGTGCTAGCTATTTCAATAATTTTTCGCGTCTTTCAGCTTACACAAGAAACACACACACATACACAAACACATACACATACAAGCACCCACGCATAAACACGCATGGGCTGCAGTGTGCGCTTACTATGAGAACTTAATTGTTTAATAACTTTTTTTGTGGACGTACGATCTTCATGAAACTTTCAGATTATGATTATAACATGAATATGCATGTAATTGCCAAAGCACAAGTCTCTAGTATTTGAAATACGCGTTTTACAAAAGTGAGGGTGAGGGGGTGAATTTAGAGGTGGGGGGTAAATTTTAACAAAAACCGAAATTGTATAAATTGCATATANACGGACAGACGGACAGACGGACAGACAGACAGACGGACAGGGCCAAATCAACTCAGCTCGTCACCCTGATCAAGAATATATATACTTTGTGGGGTCTGCCACGCCTCCTTCTGCCTGTTACATACATTTCAACAAAACCATTATACCCTGATTTCCCATTTTCAATGGGTTCAGGGTATAAAAACAAAACCTAATATACATACATATATTTACATGCATACATATGTATTGGCCGCACCAGCAACGTGTTGAAAGTATAAAAAACAATGCTACGCAGTTTATATAATCATCAATATTAAAGTTTGTGCCCGATAAATTCAATGATTGTCCTTGTCCCACTTTTGCCGTTCGTAGCGCACGTAAACAGCTGATTGGCAACGCAACAGGTAAACAAAATATTTCGATACGTTGCGAATATTCAGCAACTCAAAGATACTATGACCCTATGCAATGCACAGTCTATATAAAAACCAAGCCATTTGGCTCATATTTCAAGTTTAACTTCAAATTTAAACGATGCGCACTTTACGTATTTGCAGCCATTCACATATAATTTTCAGTTTTGCCAGTCACTGCGCATGCAAACACCATCAGCTGTTTGGCAAAATGTAAACAAAACGTGCTCCGTTTGCCGACATGCCGCCAAAGTCGAGTAATAAAAAGAACCAAGCTACTTGGTTTCACTGTGAGAAATGTAATGTACACATAACAAGCAAATCACGGGATACACACGAACGAGTATGTCCTCTAGATGAAGACGTAAGTGGCGCAGCTGTAGAAACAGAATTTGTGCGCAATGGAACGCTTTATACGAGCAGCGTGCAGCAGAAAAATTTTGAAGTGGAATCTTTGAAAGACCTACCGCCGAAATATGCCAACACACTTCTATTTATGTCGGAGGGTGCCATACAGCTTGCTCAATTTCATATTGGGCAACAGGTGGTTGTAGAACCTGCATTGGAAGAAGCTAAAAATCCTGCGCTGGTTCGCATTCTTTGGCCCATTTCAGAGCAGTTTCTTACGACTGTTTTTGCCACAGCTGAAGGTAGTGTGGAGATCTTTAATAAAGGAAAATTAATAATGAATGATCTGCTATTACAGATTATAGACAAAATTGGTCGGTATTCCAAGGCAAATTGCTCCGCATTTCAGCCCTGAACCACAGTCAACTTTTTGCAGCTGCTAGCGTGACTCTAAGGCATTCAAATTCAAGTGAATCGGAATTGGAGCCAATGCATCTGCCAGACGTGGCGGCGGTACTCAAGCGCAATATAGTGAATCAAGTATACAGGAATGGCAGCGAACTGTATTTAAATTTCTTTAACAAGCCCTTGACTTTTCGCCTGGAAAGTTGGCAAGGAGTGGAAGAAGATGCTCTAGAGAATGCGCTGGCCAATCTAAGTTTGGTCAACACACAACAATTTGTGCAAATAACAAATGCGACACGGCTGGAGATATTACTTAATAAGGAACAAGTCAAAGAGCAGCAGCCAGAACTGGATCAAGGATTAAGTAAAGCAAAGATTGGCGGACTGGATAAGCAAATCGAATTGGTGGAAGAAAGCATGGACTTTGCACTAGGCTACAAGCCAATGCCAAAAGGTAAGCGAATATATATTTAACTATATTTTATTGAAGAGTATATTCTTGTAGGCATTAAAATTTCCCGTGGTTTGCTGCTCTATGGCGCCAGCGGCTGTGGCAAATCCCTGATCTGTGAGGCCCTGTGTTCGTCGGCTCAGAGAAGCAACAAAAATGTCCAAATCATTAATATCAGCAGTGGCGAAGTGTTTAGCAAATTTCTAGGAGAAACAGAGCAAAAGCTGGCGGCATATTTTGAGCGCGCCTACTCGCATTACCCACATCCCTCGCTGATTATCTTGGAGGATATTCACACTCTCTGTCCTAAACAGGATTCCAATGATTTGGTCAAGCGTGCTTCACTGGCATTGCTCTCCCAACTCGATCTGCTTAGCAGCGGTTGTCGGGTTGAGACGAGTCGCACTTTCTTGCTGGCCACGAGCTCGCAAATTGATGCACTGCATCCGAGCATAAGGCGTGCGGGTCGTTTAGATTGTGAATTGGAGCTGGGGCCTCCTAACCCAGCTGCTCGCAAGGAGATTCTGCAATGTCAGCTTCAACAATTGGAGCATACAATAAAAGATGTCGAATTGGAGCACATTGCGAGCATCACACATGGCTATGCGGGCGCCGATTTGGTTAATCTCGTATATACAGCCACGCTAGCTACACTGAAGGAGGAGCCTCGCCCTCTAGAGCTACGGGACTTGCAAGCAGCACTCACACAAGTGAAGCCCTCAGCTATGCGCGAGGTGCTCATTGAGAGTCCAAATGTACTTTGGTCAGATATCGGTGGCCAGGCTGCACTGCGTCTCACTCTTCAACAAGCCATCGAGTGGCCGCTGCTGCATGCCGATAAATTTCAGCGCCTGGGCATTAAGCCACCGCGTGGCGTTCTCATGTTTGGTCCGCCTGGTTGCTCGAAGACAATGATAGCCAAGGCACTGGCTACGGAAAGTAAACTCAACTTCCTTTCCATTAAGGGCCCGGAGCTCTTCTCCATGTGGGTGGGCGAGTCGGAGCGTGCGGTGCGCGAGGTGTTTCGCAAAGCTCGCCAAGTGGCGCCGGCGATTGTTTTCTTCGACGAAATCGATGCGATTGGCGGCGAGCGATCCGAGGGTTCCGCTGGTGGCTCGTCTGTCAAGGAGCGCGTGCTCACCCAGCTGCTGACCGAACTGGATGGCGTGGACGCTTTGCATAATGTCACCATTGTAGCGGCCACCAATCGCCCAGATATGATAGATAAGGCCCTGCTCCGGCCCGGCCGCATTGATCGTGTCTGCTACGTGGGTTTGCCAGAGGCGGCGGCACGTCGCGAAATCCTCCTCATCAAGCTGCGTGCCATGCCATTGGCTGAGGATGTGATTGTCGATCAGCTGGTCGAACTCACCGAAGGCTATTCGGGTGCAGAGATTCAGGCTGTTTGCCATGAGGCAGCGCTCAGCGCTCTGGAGCAGAGCTTCGAGGCAGAACTTGTGCATTGGCGACACTTCGAATCGGCGCTGGCGACAGTGAAGCCACGCACAAGCCCCGAACTGTTGCTTCTCTACCAGGAATACATGAAAAAGTAGATAATAAAGTTCTCTTTTTGATGTTCTAAAAAACTATTTCTGCTTAATTTAAATTTTATTTGTTGTAGAAAGGCTTGACAACAATTAAAATTAATTGGAAATTGATTTATAAAGCATTTGCGGCATTTCTGGAAACCTATATGTAGCATATACCGTATATATGTATATAGTACGATATGTATCATTTTTTCGACTACTCCTATATATATTAAAAAATAACATTTTATTTTACGAATTTGTTTATACATAGATAATAATTTTTTATTTAGGTTTCATTTTCTCTTTTTCGTTGTTCATATTGATATAAAAAATAAATAAATAAAATCGTAAATTGGGGGATTTTTCTATATTTTGATTCAATTTTAATTTAATTTATTCCAATGTATATTTGCTTTTGTGTCTAATCACTTTAGCGCTTCAACACATAATCATAAGCTAAACTCATAAATTCATAAAAACCTAAACGATATAGATTAATCAAGGCAAACAATTATTTAGAGTTATATATGTATGAATATTAGCTGTCTGTGATAAGATTCAGTTTTATCAGTCTGCCAAATCTAAAAAAAAAAAAAA